TATATTCATCTCTTCATTGAGCTCAACTACTTCTGATGGAGCACCATTTTTTGCGTTTAGTGAGGAATAAAAGGAAAAAATAGGAAAAAGAAAAGAAGAGAGAGAAACGGTGACCTTGGGCAGTAATAATGAAGAAAGAAAAAAAAGAAAAGGTATGAATGGTTATATATATATATATATAATACTGGGGATAAGGGTATTATGGGTATTTTACTTAATTTAGTATATGACGTCGGCTCAATCCGCCATTGACTAACGTTAACTCTAACAGAAGGGAGGTCCGTATAGGTTAGTTTCGTTTTTAAGAGAGGTCTTTGTAAATTCCTGAACCACAGGGAAGGTCCCTATAATTATAGAAACCATAGGAGAGGTCCTTGTAATATACCCTATATATATATATAAACTAAGGGTAATATAGGATTTTTAGTGTATTAAATACATTACATCAGCAAAAATCGTCATTGACCTGCATTGATTGTCACGTAATGGACATTGTGTAGGTTAAATTCATTTTTAGGAGAAGTCTGAGTAATTTCCCAAACTATATAGGAGGTTCCTGAAATTATGGCAAACCATATGGGAAATCCATGTAATTCACCCAATTTTTAAATGTTTCTAAGTGTTTGACGATCGACATGTGCAGCCACTAGCCACTAACACTCTGTCAATTAAGTGCTTGGCGATCGGCATATTATGCCACTTGCCACTAATTTTTTAATGTTTCTAAATGTTTGGCTATCGGCATGAAGAGCCATTGAAATAATAATCCAGCAAGCATAGATAATATGAAACACTTTTGGTCTCCAATGGAGTTCTTCGTTTGTATTTTTAGGAATTTATCCTTCCGATCACCTTACATTCATTTGACTTATAGAGTGAAGAATATAGAAGTCAAAAAGAGATTACATATGCTCTGGTAATACCTTTTTAGATAGGTTGTGTTTCATTATTATCCACTTGTCTTCCTCCGAGTGTTTCGAGCTTATATGCACCATTACCGGCATTGCCTACGACTTCTACAATTCTGTATAGGCCCTCCCAAGAGGACTTCATCTTTGGGAATATGCCTAACACTCTTTTCAGTACTAACTCGCCCAGGCCGAAGTTCATGTGCTTCACCTTCCATTTTGACCGAAGTTGCATTAAAGAAGGTTAATTCCTTCATTGACTTTGGCGAAGCCTATACCAAGTTATAGTGTGTATATCGCTGCTTGTCCACTCCCGTTCCTTCATTCTTCAACAGCTTTTTCTCCACCTCATCTCGGTCTCTTATGAAATTAGCCAATTTTGAGCAATGATGTTGAAATTCTTGAAATTGAAATTCAAGTTTCAATTTAGGGGTTGGGTATGCACTGTAACTCATCGGATTGGGGCCTTTAATGATGTTTTAGTGATTGGTCTGGACTAAAATTCACCGGTCGGTTGGTCATTGTTCTAAACCTTTTCTGATTTGGGTCTCTGAAATTCTCAGGTGAAATCGTCTCGTTTAACAGCGACCCTTCTATCTTAGATCATGCCTGTCTCTACCTTGTTCTCCTTCAAGTCTCCGGCGACGACCTGGTATCTCCTATGGACGGTGACCTAATGATTGTTGTTCTTCTTAGCTTTCTGGGCCGCTACTGTAGCTAGTCTAGAGACTCCATTCTACAACATGTAGTGACCTGAAGGTTTCTACCATTTGCGACAAGAATCAAGTCACAAAAATGACCCGGTCATATTTTTTCACGGCAATACAAAAGTAAAGCTCTGATTTTTGGTCTTCAATGGAGATAGAGAATAAATATAAATGTCCTCCAATGCATTAAATACACACACACCACATGTCACTAGGGATGGCAATTTCCTCTAACCCGCTGGGTTTCCACCCCGCTCCGCTCCTAATGGAGCGGATTTGGTAGCTCCATAAATGGGTTTGGGACGGATATGGTAAAAGAATTGAAAACCCGAAGCGGGTTTGGGGTGGGGGCGGATTTAGTGATGCCCCCACCCCACCCCACCCCCGCCCCAACCCCGATTATATATATATATAAAGTATATATTTAATTTAAGTGTCCATTAATATATTTTGACTAAATATTCGCTAGAATCACTACTTACTAAAATTTTACAATTGTGCACGTGATTCAATCTTCAAAGATTCAAGATCTTAGTATTCTATCCCAAGTTCAGGAATTAATTTAACAGTTTCAACTTTACCGCAATTAAACGGAGTATGCGAGGCAGAGTTAGTATTTTGTCTATCGGAGTAGGGGCGGGGATGGTATACCAATTATAAACCCGTCTCGGAGTTGGAGCGGAATTGGTATTACAAATTTTTTAATGGGGTGGAGTAGGATTTAGCCAACTCCATCCCAACTCCGCCCCATTACCATCCCTACATGTCACCCAAGGCAAATGGACTGGACTCATACTCGATCCGATTGGGCAATCCTGAAGTCCACAAGCACAAAGTCAAGTCGGATACAAGCCAGCCCATAAAGAAAGTGAAGCCCATTAAAGGAGAACTTATAGGGATCAAACAAAGAAAGGAATAGTTTCACTTACCTTCCCTGAAGTTAGGCTTAATTACAGGCGATACTCCTAACGTTTCAAATATTACACCAATCTTCCTTCAATGTGGCCGGCTTTAGATTCCGGCAGAAATTCATGTAAAAGTATATACGCTCTATTATTAGTTCTCTAACAAAGTAACAATTCTACTGCTGCAAATTGGGACTATGAAAAACTGAACTAGCCACCATTATTGAACCCATAGTCGGCCAATTACACCACCACGACAACCACCAGTCCCAACTCCGCCACCATCACAACTACCACCAGTCCCAACTCAGCCGCCACCACCATCACCATACACAGTGATCACGCACTGGCACCGTCAGAGGCTATTTCGAAGCCTCAGACCGTCTCATTTGTTGCCGAAAACATCTGAAACGGCTATTCCGTGTCTTTCCGTCCGCCGCTTCATCAACGTCGACACCGCTGCCACGAAACAGAGTCCATCACCATAATAGAGACCTATCTCATCTTTCTTCATTTTATCTTTTATTTTATAATACACCACACGCTCTCACGCGCCACCCATCTTAGCCCACACGCCTGTTCCTCTGGTCATTTGTCGGACCAACGGCACCACTCACTTTGTATTAGTGACCATGACCATATCTCTGTCGCACCGTGACTCGTCGTTGTCACTTGTTTTTTTACCATCACTGGAATCCACCACAACTATATTTGTTGTTATTGCCCAGTTGCAGAAACATGTTGGCCACCTATATAATCCTAGCCAGATTCATCAGAAGCAGAGTCAACATCTCTGATTTGATCTCTTACAACCTCCGTTGTTTCATAATTTCTGAAGCCCACTCTTTCAAATTCGTTGTCTGAGAAAGAAAATAGAGAGGGGGTGTGAAATCAAAGGCCGACTTCATGTCGATACCAAAGTTGTTATCTATAGGCACACTGGTCAACACCAACGTGATCCACCACTTCACGGCGGTCGGAGGAGGAACCACCTGACCTCTACCAACCGCCAGTGGGGATTCGAAACTATGATTGCCAGAGAAATCTGACTTATTGAAGACGGCAGGTTGTTGACCAACGTAATCCACCACTTCACGGCGGCCGGAGGAGGAACCACCTAACCTCTACCAACCGCCGGTGGGGATTCGAAACTATAATTGCCAAAGAAATCTGACTTATTGAAGACGGCAGGTTCAGCAATGGCGAGGTTGGGCAGTACGATACAGAGGGAGAGAGAAAATTAGGTCACAGGGTGTTGAAAGTACATTCACGTCCATAGTTTTAATGATGTGGCAGGTTGTTTTTTTTGTCCAAAAATTGGGGATGTGTATAACACACACACACACCCATATAAACCAGTATATAATGTATTATATATAGAGAGAGAGAAATGTGCTGATTAGGCCTGCCTTATATAAAGGGATTCCTGTATAAGAAGTTTCTGGGGTGAATTAGAGAAAAATAAGTGTGAGGGTATATGAGTAATTTTTAGCTTAAAAGTAAGGGTGGAAAAGTTTTTGCTACTATAGTAAAGGTAAATATGGTATTTTAGGTTAAAAATGACTGACATCGTCAAAAAACATTATTGATCGGGATTAATTATCATCGAAAGGGAAAAAGTGTTAGGGAAAAAGTGTTACAAGAGAGTTAACCTTGAGGGAGGTTTTTATAATTTTTGAAACATAAAAAGTAGCACATGTAATTATGCGTAACCTCATGGTAGGTAAGTGAATTTATCCTAACAAAGAAATTAGGATAGGAAAAAAGATGTATAAATAGAGTAAGAAAGGAAATAAAAGACAGAGTGTTTGGAGTAAAAGAAAAAATTTCCATCAATAGAAAGGAAAGATTCTTGCACCTACACCGGCGAATCACTAAAATTAAGAAATGGTTAGTTTTATTCGGAAAGAGAGGAGAGAAAGAAAGGTGTGGACAAATATATGACCGACAGAACAAAATGGAAGTTTTATTATTATTATTATTATCAAAGTGTATTTTGTGGTTAATTTAAAAATATATATATATACAAAAATTTATATGCACACATTAACTAATAAGGAGTGTTTCTTGCATATTTTGTTGGACAATGCTTAGTTACTCACCGGTGAGATATTTTGTTGGACAATGCTTAGCTACTCATTGGTGAGTAAGGTGAAACTACTCACCCCTATGTGGTCCAATAAGAAAATAACACATCACCTTTAATAATTAAATAATTCACACCTAAAAATATTATATACGTTTCGAGAAAAAAGAAAAAGGTATGAATTATTTAATTATACTATATACGTTTCGAGAAAAAAGAAAAAGGTATGGATTATACCACGTAGGGGTGAGTAGCTTCATCCTACTCATCATCGATGGATAGCTAAGCATTATCCTACCTATTTTGTATATAGCGAGAATGTGTTTTTTTTGCACTTCACCCAAATATATATATATATATATATACACACACATATATATACCATGTATATCACTTACCCGGAGCAATGTACCCAATGGAGCCAGCCACAGCTGACACTGTGTTAGGCTCGCCATGCTTGATCAACATCTTGGCTAAGCCAAAATCTGCTATTTGCGCATTGAATTCGGGATCTAACAAGATATTGCTTGATTTCACGTCGCGATGAACAATAGGTGGTGAGCAATCATTGTGCATGTAGCATAGCCCCCGGGCTGCTCCAACTGCAATCTGGAACCTCTTAGGCCAGTCCAGGACAACATGATGGACTGAACCCGATACACTTGGCTGCCTACGCCTATTCTTTCCATGGAGCCAGTCATGCAAGCTTCCATTTTCCATAAACTCGTAAACAAGAAGTTTCGAGGTCTCATTTGACATACAGCACAACAATTTCACTATGTTGGAGTGGCGAATTGTGCTTAGTATCTCAACTTCTGCAAGGAATTGCTTCTCCAGTTTTTGGTCCAACTTTCTGTTGTTCCAAATCCTCTTAACAGCAACAAAATCGCCTTCTGAGCTGTTGACTGGAACGCGATACACTTTCCCCGATCCCCCACTTCCTATTACGCATTGTTCAGTCAATCTCGACAAAATGCTCGACACAGTGAAATTCAACCTCTGAAATGAAGTGAGTTTCCAGTTCAAATCCAATCCAACCTTTCTCTTTCGATGAACTCTGATCACGAAGAAGAACGTGAATATAATAGCTAAAACGAACAGAACTGATGCTATACTTATCAACATAGCAAAAAGCTGGGTGGAAATTCTGCCAAATTTTCTTGCTCCTGAAGAGCAAACGTGAATGCCCAATGATGGGTTAATTGAACATAGACCAGGATTGTTTAAAAAGCTGTCATGATAAGCTGCATTTTCAAAGGCACCTGGGATTCTCCCGGTGAGACTATTAGAAGAAAGGTTGAATGAATTTAGCCTTAAACCGCCAATTTGAGATGGAATTTGACCGGAGAATTCGTTGTCCGACAAGTCCAAAGAAGTAAGGACAGGCAAAGAACCAATCTCAGCTGGAATGTTCCCAGAGAGTTGGTTTCCACTGAGATTTAAAGTATTCAGTGAATCCCATGAGACTATTTCTGAAGGAAAATGCCCGGAAAACCGATTCCTATCAAGTGAAAGAGTTGTCATGAATGGAAGAGCTGTTAACTCTTGTGGAATTGTGCCGGTGAAGAGATTGTTTCTTGCTGTGAACACCGTTAAATTCCTCAATGATGAAATCCCAGCTGGAATTTCACCGGAAAGCTGGTTGTTACTGATATCAAGTCGCGTTAAGTTTCTCGCCAATTCATCAGGAAGATGACCGGTAAAGAGATTGTCCCTTATTATCAACTGTGTCAAATTCAATGATTTCCATAAACCAGCCGGAATTTCGCCGGAAATTCGATTACCATGAACCTGATTATATAACAGACTCATGCAATTCCCTAGTGAACTTGGCAATTCACCGGTGAGATTGTTGTACATTGCCATGAAACTTACCAACACTCCGTTGGCGCATATTATCTCCGGCAATTGGCCTGTAAACTGATTGTTGGCCACTTGAAATTCTCTGAGCATCGAGTATCGCCCCAGGTCTGGTGGCAATTGTCCTGATAGATTGTTGCCGAACAACTTTATAACTTGCAGCCCTGCTAACCGGCCAATGCTTTGGGGGACTTCGCCGGAAAGATGGTTGGTAAACAGAGCCAAACCAGTCAGTTTGGTCAGTTTTCCAAAATCATCCGGTATTGCCCCGGTCAAGTTGTTTTCTGATAAATCAACCACATCCAAGTTAAAAGCTTCAACTGATGTTGGAATTTCGCCGGACAATTTGTTTTTGAAAAGATGCAGAGTAGTCAAATTCTTCAACAAAAACACGCCATTAGGAATGTTACCAGTCAACTGGTTTGTCGACACGTCCAAGAGCTCCAAGGCCGTCATATTCCCGATTGCTTCCGGGATTTCTCCGATCAAATTCGCCGACGACATCCACAAACTTTTGAGTTTTCTCAACTGGGTAAAATTCGAAGGTATCTTCGATGGGGCAAACGGATTGACTGCCATCCATAGTAATTCAAGATTCGACAAGTTTCCAATTTCTGGCGGGAAAGTTCCGTTGAACAGGTTTAGTTCAATATTAAGAGTCCTGAGCTCCGAAAACCGCCCAATTGAGGCGGGAATGTCACCGGTGAAGTTATTGTAGGCGATGTTGAGCTCCCGGAGCTGAGAGGACAACCGGTGGATGTCGCTGGGAATTGATCCGACGAAGTAATTTTGAGAAATGTCGAGTGTTTGAAGCTTGGAACAGTTGTAGAGGACAGTAGGAAACGGTCCGGGGATGAAATTATTTAGAAGATTAAGAAGGGTCAAGTTTTGGAGGTCACAAATGAATGGTGGGATTGTTCCGTTGATGTTTTTTTCAACGAGCGAGAGTCCAATCACAGAGCCACCTGTGCAGTTGATCTCCGGCCATGTACAGTGGATTGAGGTTGAGGTTGAGTTCCAATATTCGATGGAGGGTGGATTGGACCAATGTTGTTTGAGCTTCAGTAGGATTGCTAGTTCTGGATCAGTGGTGGTTTGTGAGTGCCATGGAAGGGTAGGGTGAAAATGAGGAGAGAGAGTGTGATTTGCAGATATGTTGGGGATATTTTCGACATTTGGATAGGTTGGGGTTGTGTTTCTCGGCAGAGTATTTGTGTGTTTGCTGAGTTTTTGATTTCCAGGCGGGAGAGTTTATTGAATTGGTGAACGTAAAAATCAACCCTTAAAGGAAAAAGGTTCAACTTCGTATTTCGTCGTCAATATGTCAATTGATGACCAAATACATATTCAAAGACTCAAATTTCAAGTCCATATCCAATATGAATGGTTTAAAGTAAGGCCAAGATATATTTTTTTTTTTTTGGGAAAAAGTCTACCCTAGTCCTACTTTTTAATTCTAAAAACAATTAGGCATGCTTGGTTTTTAACTATGAAAACAATTTTCTAATAATTCAGATAAGAGAAAAAGTTTTTAGATAATAATAAAAGATAGTTTTCTGAAAACAGACCTTTTTATAATTGAGTTTTCCGAAAACTGTTTTCAGAATTACAAATAAAATAGATCCTAAGTTCTACGTATTTTTTAGTTTGACAAAGAAATCCTACTTTTAACACTTATTATTGTCAAATTAGTTCAAATTTATTATTACTAAAATAATAACTTAAGCAACTAATGGAAGCTACATACAACTTCGTAGCTTTGAAGTGGGTTGGTCGTCGGCCTTGTTTGCTAAGCATAACTTAAGAAAATATGTTCAAGCAGCGATGCATGACATTGGTGGTGGTGGAAGTGGTAGTGGAGCTGGTTACGGTGCAGGTGGAGCCTTGTGCCGGCGGTTAAGGCGGTGGTGAATAAGGGTGGATACAAGAATTGCCAATGAAGTGGGATAATATTTCTTTGATAGGTTAATACTAATAATAATTTTTTTTTTTTTTTTTTTTACTGGCCTAAATTTAGGTATTGTAAAAAAAATTTAAAAAAAATTTGGCCACTCAAGTCCACCCCTAGATCAGTCAGAGGTGGTGAAGGAAGTGGCAGTGGTGGTAGCTATGGTGCTGGTGGAGAGAACATGGAGGTGGCTATGGTGGGGAATGGGGATAGCATAGTCCGGGCGACCCATTTACGCTACTGATAGAGTTTGATGTTCAGAAAAGCTTCCTTTACAAAAGTAAAGGAAAATATATATATATATATACAAACACACGTTTGAACCAATTTGATTATAAATTTTAGAAGTAGGATTTTTTTTTGTTCAACTCAATAATATGTAAAACTTACCTGTCTTTAGAGTTGAAAAGTAGGATTATGGTGAAATTTACCTTAATTTTTTCTTACATCAACAAGTCTACAATGGAAAAAATGCTTAAACGTAAAGAGAATTTGTGATACTAATGAAGTGGGCTGGATAAATGGCCCACCAAATATTAAACATTAGCTCCACCGTCAATAGTGAGAATGTTGTTGTTTTCACTTCGTTACCTTCTTCCATGGTGAAATTTTTATTTTTAATTTTTTTTTTATGAAAAGAATTGACACACACTCCCATTCACTCACAGACGGTTAACGTGGTTTGCTTCTTATAATTCCTCCATCAATTATACCCATCATTAATTAATATTCATTTCAAATCAGGTTGAACCCCTAAAATCTTTAACTTAAATTAAATTTCAAAGTTCTTAAATCAAAATTATATATATCCATAGCTAATGGCGGATGACAATGATTATCCAAAAATTCCCAATGCATATGTTTAGAATTCAATTATAGAAGGTCGATAGATGGATTGTGTAATGAAACAAACCTTGAGAAACTCCTAATTTTCGCAAATAAGGACAGTTCAGAACAATATTTGCTACCAAAGAAAAAAAAAAAAACAAAACAAAAAAGTGATGCTAGTGAGTCAAAGTGACAATATGATGTCATTTCTTATTTCGTAATACATAGTCTCCAAATAATTTCAAGTACTCAACTGCTACAATTCCAATCAAATTTTATTGGGCCAGCTTGATTTGTTATTCTGAGAATAATTTTCTGTTTTTAATTTTTTGAAAATAAAAAATTGTCCAAAAAAAAAAAACTTTCTTCGATTAAGTTTTATAAAAACTATTTTCTGATTACTCAGTTATAAAGTGGTTTGTTTTTAAAAAATTGTCTCTTATAATTATTTAAAAATAATTTTTTATTCTTTGAATTATCGTTTTTAAAATGACAAACTAAGTAAGCTAATTATTCAAGACAATCAAGGCAGTCCTCCACTTACTTCGAAAAGTTGACGCATAAAAGAAAAATAAATGTGAACCAGAAGGAAGATAATATAAAATTCCAAGCATTTTCCTTCTATCTACATTAAGTCGTATTCCAATTTATAGTCATATAATAGGTTATAGACATATGACCAGCAAAATGACATATTTATTGTTCCTGTGTCCAAGAAGAAAAAATTTCTCTTTGTATTAGTCATTCCATGTAAAGAAAGTCATAGAAGTTTCCCCAGAGAAAAATAGAACTAAAAGGGTGTAGACTAGATCGAGTTGTTTCATTGACTTATATCATAATATGTAGCATTAAGGAAGAAAGAAAAATAAAAAATTCAATGTAAAAATCTATTTGATTAAACACCGAAAAACACAATTGACCAATAAACATTAATAAAATTATATCGTCTCATATTAGTAATTCATTATTTCATTTTATGGTGTCCTATTTATCAAGTCAAAGAAAAAAAGTACAATTTTTTTATAAATTTTTTTTTCTCCCAATTTTTTTATAATTACCTTTTGAATTTTCAAATATCTCTCAATTTAGTAATTTTATAATTTTAAAACGCGATGTGTCTATTTATTACTGGTTCACATCAGCAGTCAGTATGTTGTAAATCCTCACCTATGAAGACCTAAGTATTGTACTAATTTTAAAAAGGGATAATACATTAATTGTACGTCTCTGTAAAAATTATATTATAAAAAATGGACAACTAATATGAAACGGATTAAGTAGCATATAGACTAAAAATTAAAGACACTTCTAGTGTCTTCCACCAAAGTATTGTGTCCTTTATTGACATTTTATGGACCCTAGTAGACATTTATAAACTTCAAGACTATGTTTAATTTAAATATAAATTTTACTATTTTAAAATTTTGGTTAACACCTTTGGAACACTCCATCAACATATTCTGGACTATTCTTTTATATAACCAAACATGGGAAGTACTAAAAATAACATTATGAACATATTTCATTAACTTTCTTTTTAAAAAAAAAATTTGATATTAAACAAAAACATAACTATAATGATAAGATATAAAAATAATATCATACTTCTATATATATCTATACTATTATTAAATATGCAAAGTGTTTTACTGTTTCAGTATTTATTTATTTATATAAAAAATATTTATTAATTGACATAAAAATAGTTTTTGTAAAAATAGTTTCTATAAAATTCTAAAAATTACCTAATAAAATCAATCACATTCTATATTAAGCTCTTATTTTTAGTTCAATATAAAAAGAATAGTTATTTTTTATAAATAATTATCACAATATAACCGGCCCGGCCCAATTATTAGAAAAGGACACATGTCATCATCCTATTAATCCAAGAAGCCTATAAATAGAGGCATGGAGAAAGGAGGAAGGGGCACAGAAATTCATAATTCCAAAGTAAAATACAAAAACTCTGCCAAAGAGTTTCAGTATTTAATTAATTATTTATTAATATAAAAAATATTTATTAATTAATATAAAAAGATTTTTTATCTATAGTATTATTAATGTGCAAAGAGTTTCAGTATTTATTTATTTATATAAAAAAATATTTAAAACACTAAAATCTACATAATAAAATTTAAATTAACCTATTTATCTATTTATTATTATGAATTTTTTAATAAAATAAAATCTAATTAGACAACAATTATTAATATAAAAAATATTTATTAATTGATATATAAAACAAAATAATTTTTCTAAAACTCTACCACAAATTAGCTTTTATTATGAGTTTCTTAATAAAATCAAATCTAATTAGACAATAATATATTTAAATAAAATAAAATAATTTCTATAAAACTCTATCACAAATTACCTATTTTATTTTCAATAAAACTCTATCACACTAAACAAAGATATATTTAAAGCGTTTCTATAAAACTCTAACACAAATTACCTATTTATCTATTTATTATGAGTTTTTTTAATAAAAGGAAATCTAATTAGATCAGAATTATTAATATAAAAAATTATTTATTAATTGATATAAAAAGAGATTTTAAAGGAGTTTCTATAAAACTCTAACACAAATTACCTATTTATCTAAAAAAATATTTAAAACACTAAAATCTACATAATAAAATTTAAATTAACCTGTTTATCTATTTATTATTATGAATTTTTTAATAAAATAAAATCTAATAAAACAAGAATTATTAATATAAAAAATATTTATTAATTGATATATAAAACAAAATAATTTTTCTAAAACTCTACCACAAATTAGCTTTTATTATGAGTTTCTTAATAAAATTAAATCTAGTTAGACAATGATATATTTAAAGAAAATAAAATAATTTATATAAAACTCTATCACAAATTACTTATTTTATTTTTAATAAAATTCTATCACACTAGACAAAGATATATTTAAATCATTTCTATAAAACTCTAACACAAATTACCTATTTATCTATTTATTATGAGTTTTTTAATAAAAAGAAATCTAATTAGACAAGTATTATTAATATAAAAAATTATTTATTAATTAATATAAAAAGAGATTTTAAAGGAGTTTTTATAAAACTCTATCACAAATTGCCTATTTATCTAAAAAAATATTTAAAACACTAAAATCTACATAAGAAAATTTAAATTAACCTATTTATCTATTTATTATTATAATTTTTTTAATAAAATAAAATCTAATTAGACAAGAATTATTAATATAAAAAATATTTATAAATTGATCTATAAAACAAAATAATTTTTTTAAAATTATACCACAAATTAGCTTTTATTATAAGTTTCTTAATAAAATTAAATCTAATTAGATAAGGATATATTTAAAGAAAATAAAATAATTTCTATAAACTCTATCACAAATTACCTATTTTATTTTCAATAAAACTCTACCACACTAGATAAAGATATATTTAAAGAGTTTCTATGAAACTCTAACACAAATTACCTATTTATCTATTTATTATGAGTTTTTTTAATAAAAGCAAATCTAATTAGACATGTATTATTAATATAAAAAAATATTTATTAATTTATATAAAAAGAGGTTTTAAAGGAGTTTCTATAAAACTCTAACAAAAATTACCTATTTATCTATTTTTGTATGAGTTTTTTAGTAAAAGTAAATCTAATAAGACAAGAATTATTAAAATAAAAAATATTTATTAATTGAAAGATTACCTAATAAAATGAATCACATTCTATATAAAACTCTTATTTTTAGTTCAATATAAAAAGAATAGTTATTTTTTATGGATAATTATTATAATATGACAGGCCCGGACTAGTTATGATTATATCAATATCAGAAATAAAAATAATAATAATAATAAATAAATAAAAACATATGTCAATATCTTATTAATCCAAAATGCCTATAAATAGAAGCAACAAGGAAGGAGGAAGTGATACAAAAATCGAGAATTCTAGAAATCTAAAATTTTAGAGTAAAAATACAGAAACTCTACCAAAGAGTTTCAGTATTTATATAAAAAAAATATTTATTAATCGACATAAAATGCATGCCTATGCGTTGAATGTGTAGACCCACGAATCCAACTACTAAGTCCCTTGCACTGGTTGACAGTAGAAGTTCACCTTTCCTTATGAAGCCAACTACACTATTGAATCCTCCAATAGTATCAACATTGAACTGTTTAGTCCAAGACTCGGTGACGCCATACTCTTTCATCAACCATATGCAACAAAGAGTGTCTTTAGGATCAGTAAGGTGAATAAGAGCCAGTGATTCCTGACATTTAGCCAAACCCAGCTTGAAAACAAACATGGAGCTCTCTTGAGACAGTTCACTGAATGTTTTCTTCTTTTCCAGTTTCAATAAAGTATTTAAGTATTTATTTATTTATATAAAAAAATATTTATTAATTGATATTAAAAGAGTATTTATATAAAAGAAAAACTCTATAAAACACTAAAATCTACATAATAAAATTTAAATTAACCTATTTATCTATTTATTATTACGAATTTTTTAATAAAGGAAAATCTAATTAGACCAGAATTATTAATATGAAAATATTTATTAATTGATACGAAAAATAAAATAATTTTTCTAAAACACTACCACAAATTAACTTTTATTATGAGTTTCTTATAAAAAATATTTATTAATTGATATAAAAAAAGTTTTATCTATACTATTATTAGATGTGCAAAGAGTTTCAGTATTTAAGTATTTATTTATTTAAATAAAAAAATATTTAAAACACTAAAATCTACATAATAAAATTTAAATTAACCTATATATCTATTTATTATTATGAATTGTTTAATAAAAGAAAATCTAATTAGACAAGAATTATTAATATAAGAAATATTTATTAATTGATACATAAAACAAAATAATTTTTTTAAAAATCTACCACAAATTAGCTTTTATTATGAATTTCTTAATAAAATTAAATCTAATTAGACAAAGATATATTTAAAGAAAATAAAACAATTTCTATAAAACTCTATCACAAATTACCTATTTTATTCTTAATAAAACTTTATCACATTAGACAAAGATATATTTAAAGAGTTTCTATAAAACTCCAACATAAATTACCTATTTATCTATTTATTATGAGTTTTTTAATAAAAGAAAATCTAATTAGACAACTATTATTAATGTAAAAAATTATTTATTAATTGATATAAAAAGAGGTTTTAAAATAATTTCTATAAAACTCTAACATAAATTACCTATTTATCTATTTATTATAAGTTTTTTTAATAAAAGTAAATCTAATTGGACAAGAATTATTAAAATACAAAATATTTATTAAATGTTATAAAAAGAATTTTTAAAAGAGTTTATATTAAACTCTAAAAAAAATTACCTATTTATTTATTATAAGTTTTTTAATTAAAGAAAATCTAATTAGACAAGAATTATTAATATAAAAATATTTTTTAATTGATATAAAAAATAAATAATTTTTTTAAAACTCTTTCACAAATTACCTTTTGTTATGGTTTTTTTTTTTTTTTTTAATAAAAGCTAATCTAATTTGACAATAATTATTAAAATAAAAAATATTTATTAATTCATATAAAAAGAGTTGTAACAATATTTTCTATAAAACTCTAACACGTATTATCTATTTATTTATTTATTATGAGTTTTTTATTAAAAAAAAATAATTAAACAATAATACATTTAAAGAAAATAAAAATTTTCTATAAAATCTATCGCAAATTAGCTAACTCTAAAATCTACCTATTAAAATTTAAATTATCCTATTTATCTATTTATTATTATGATTTTTTAATATAAAAAATCTAATTAGACAAAAATTATTTATATAAAGAATAATTATTTATTGATATATAAAATAAATTAATTTTTCTAAACTCTACCACAAATTAGCTTTTATTACGAGTTTCTTAATAAAATGAAATTAAATTAGACAAGGATATATTTAAAGAAAATAAAATAATTTCTATAAAATCTACCACAAAGTAGCTTTTATAATGAGTTTTTCATAAAAAGAAATCTAATTAGATAAATATTATGAATATACAAAATTAATTATTAATTAATATACAAAGAGGTTTTCAAAGAGTTTTTATTAAACTGTAACACAAATTACCTAATAAAATACAGAAGTCCTGCCAAAGTGTTTCAATATTTATTTATTTATATTACAAAATATTTATTAATTGATATAAAAAGAATTTTTATCTATACTATTATTAAATGTGCAAATAGTTTCAGTATTTAAGTATCTATTTATATATATATAAATATTTATTAATTGATATGAAAAAGTTTTTATAAAAAATAAATAAATAAACTCTATCAAACTCTAAAAACTATCTAATAAAATTTAAATTAAACTATTTATCTATTTATTATTATGAATTTTTTAATAAAAGAAAATATAATTAGACACGAATTATTAATGTAAAAAATATTTATTAATTGATATATAAAATAAAATAATTTTTCTAAAACTCTTTCACAAATTAACTTTTATTATGAGTTTCTTAATAAAATTAAATCTAATTAGACAATGATATTTAAAGAAAATAAAATAATTTCTATAAAACTCTATCACAAATTACAATTTTTATTTTTAAGAAAACTGTATCACACTAGACAGAGATATAATATTTAAAGAGTTTGTATAAAATTCTAACACAAATTACTTATTTATATATTTATTAAGAGATTTTAATAAAAGGAAATCTAATTAGATAAGTATTGTTAATATAAAAAATTATTTATTAATTGATCTAAAAAGAGGTTTTAAAAGAGTTTCTAGAAAACTCTAACACAAATTATCTATTTATCTACTATTATTATTGAGAATGCGGCAAGTGGCGTGGGCCGGATATGGATCGCGGAAACGAGATTGGGTCGAATGATTGAAGAATGATGCATGCCAAATCACCCTGGAGTGGGCTGAACGTGGGGGGTCCACCGAGGGAGGTCAAGCCCATTACAAGACCCAGCCCAGGAGGAAGAGAACTTTGGGCTATAAGCCCAATGTAATTGGTTAACTGCAAAAGAGGGTCATGGCCTATAAATAGACCATGACGGGTGGAAAGTAGAAAGTGAAAAACTAGGGAAGAGAAAGAGAGAGAGAAAGTAAGAGTGAGAGAGATGAAACGGAATATTGTATCTTCAATTGGCGCCGTCTGTGGGAAACGAGGACGAAGATCAATTTGAGCCCGATTAGTACCATATTAGTTCAATCGAGTTTGTGAATATGCAGTGTGACTTCTGGAAGTTGAATCCAGATCAGTGAGATTGTAGTTTGTTCCGAGAGAATTCATGCTTATTGTGGATTCTGAGGCATTTGCTTTGGAAGGACGCAATTGTGATTTGCTCAGTTGCAGTCAGATCCGATGAGTTTGAAGCTAGAAAAGTTCAGATCTAGCAAACAGCGATCACGATTCGGTAAAGATAAGCCCAGATCTAGCGGAGTTTGCATCGGTAACGCTTAGATCTGTTTCGAAGTTCGTAATTCATGTCTTTGCTTCGATCCGGAGTCATGATAGGGGGTGACAACTCTAATACGGTTGAGAACGTCCAGCAAGTGAAACTTGATGAGTTGATGAACATAATCGAAGCTCTCCGGAGAGAAAATGCAGATCTAAGGAATGAAATACGACGTCAAGAAGCTCCAGTAATTCCACGACCACTTCCGGTAGGCGAAGAAGGTGCATGTACCGACGCGGCACATCACGGTGAAGAGGTTGAAAACAATCTAGTCGATCCTCATCGCGAGGAAATCCGGCGAGACGGTTTGCCGCCAAATCTTCGTCGTATGGATGATCGTGAAGGATCGATTCACATGGATCCACGGCGTGAGTAGATCAGGCGAAAAGAAGCGATGACTTTTGATCCATATCAAGAAACGCTCAGCCGAGGTGAAGCAACAGAGTTGATTCGTCAGAAAGCTATGCCTCCATGGCGCAAGGACTTTGTTGAGGATAGATCATTCGATCCGACCTACCGGCCTTCCATGACGACGTTCGATTATCACAGCTCAGAGAGGAGATCAGTAGACCAGAGAGCAGCCGCGGGATTCCAGAGGGAGAATGAAGCACTCCGTTCAGCAGCTCGAACGGTGGATTCACCGTTCACCGATGAGATTCTGAATGCTCCGAGTCCGAGGAAATTTTCCATGCCCGTTTTCATTCTATTCGACGGAACGACTGATCCGATCGATCATGTGTATCACGTCTAGCTGAAAATGGCTCTAAACACTGAGAATGATTCTTTGATGTGCAAGTGCTTTCCTACGAGTCTAGCCAGACCAGCTCTGAATTGGTTCAAGAACCTGCCGAGGGGTTCAGTGGATAGTTTCCGAAGCCTGTGCGATCAGTTCATAAGCCAATACTATGGAAACAAGCGTCCAACGAAAGATATTTCGAGCTTATTCACAATGAAGCAACACGCTGAAGAGCGTCTCCAGGCTTTCCTAACCAGGTTTAACCTTACCAAGAGCATGGTTATTGAATGTCACCCATCAACGGCAGTTCAAGCATTCATTCTGGCTATGAATCGTGGCACCCCGTTCCACACAAGCTTGGTGGTCAACACGCCGAGGACTATGGATGAACTTAACGAAAGAGCCGATGGATTTGTACGCTTGGAAGAAGAAGAGGCGGCAAACGCTCGGAAAACATCCGTTATATCTACGGAAGAAAAGACCAAAGCAAAGATCAGGCAAAAACAGGTCCAACTGCAACGCTCCTCGTGGAAATCTGAGAAGAGGCCCAGAGAGGAAGAGCTGATTACTCCATTGAAAGTTACCCTAGCAAGACTGTACCAAGAAAATAAAGATAAGTTCCGACCTCCTTTACCAATCAGGCAACCTCTTGAACAGAGGGATCAGTCTAAACACTGTGCATTTCATTCTGATTTTGGCCACCAGACTAACGAATGCAGGAACCTAAGGAGACAGGTAGAGATGCTAATAGCCAGAGGGGAGTTCGCAAGTTATATTCAAGGACCAGCGGTGGAGCAGAGCCGGCCAATGGAGCTTGTGAAGAAGAATCAGAAATCGAATTCTCACAACACGCAACCAGTTCGAGTAATTAATGCAATTCACGGTCGGCCAGAACCTGCTGAGGAATCAGATGAATTGCTTCGAACACGCCTTCGTCAGGCACGGATGAAGAGAATGATAAGCAGTGTAAACACTCTGCACCAGCAGAGCGCATCAACGCAGATAAAGTTTGACGCAGCAGACTTGTTGTGTGTTCAGATCCCTCATGAGGACCCGCTGGTTGTAAGTTTGACAGTGGCTAAATGCTTGGTGCGCAGAG